GACCATAGTCCTGACCTCCTTGAAGAAGGTGAGGTTGCAGCCCATTTGGGTGCCAAGAAGTCTGCCCAGGCAGAGATGGCCCCCAGTTGGTGGGCAAGCAGAAAGCCATCTTCAAAGATGCAGAGGAACTGAAGCCAGTGAGAGGGAGTCAGAACACTACAGGCACCAGGCCTTGAGCATACAGTGCCTACTTCAAAAAGGCATGGAAACATGGTCACCAGTGAGTGGGCCAGAACCATGCAGGTACCAAGGGACTACTCTGGGCACTCATGTGAGCAGAGTCCCACAGGATGTTCTACACATCTGCACTACTAACCATGTTGCAAAAGCGAGAAAAGGCCAATAGCATGGTCCCAGGAACCAGAAGGAGAAGCCCCCCCACAACGTGCCTCCACCTCCCTCTCCTGGGAAGCCTTCTTGTGGGTTCACTGTCAAGTAGAGAATGCTCAGAGTACCTGTTCCCAGAGGAGAATCTCCAGGGTGAATCTGGACTGTGAAGCAGTGAGCCAATTGGTGGCATATGTCATGGGTCATTAGAACTGAGGTCAGGAAACTCTTTCTACAAAGAGCCTGACAGTGAGCAGTTTAAGCTCTTTGAGTCATAGCTTCTATTAAAATTACTCAAGTCAGGGAGCTGGGGATGTAGCTCAGGGGTGTGGCACCTGCCTGGCAAGCAAGAGGAGGTATGGACAATATGTAAACTAATTAGCATGTCTATGTTTCAATAAAACTTGATTTACAAAAACAGACAATGGATTTGCCCACACAGTGGCTTACCAACTCCTGATGCAGAATTTTTTTAGGGTAGGGTCTTACTGTGTTGCTCAGGCTGGCCTTAAACTCAAAGGATTCTCCGACCTCACCCTTCTGCATAGTTGAGACAACAGGTGTACACCACCATGCCCAGCCATTATGTAAAATTTTAGAATGAAAAAATAAAACCTTTATTCTGCAAAGAGGACTGCACTCAGAAGAGGGAAGAGTGCAAGTGCAGAGCTCAGGCAGATGGCGGGGCTGAGTGAAAGGAATTTAAATGAAGTTATTAACATCTACCTCATATGCTTTTTTGGGGGGTCTAAATTAATGAGCTATTGTTTTAAAAGGTCTAAGGATGTACCTAATAATTATCATTACCACTAAGGGTCTGTGAAAGGCAAAATAACAGTCCATATTGTCCCTTCCACGTATAAAGACTAGAAGCTGACACTCACTGGGGTTAAGAAACTTATCTCAAATCCCACAGCCTTGTGCAGTCATCAATAATCAGCCTGCCTGACTCTTAAATCCATGGTTCTTTCTCATCATCACCTCCCTACCACACTCTCGAGGGAGATAGGTGTTCCCAAACTGGGCTGCTTTGTTTGCCATAATGAAATGATACAGCACCCTGTACCCTGGCAGGCTAGGACTTAAAACCTGAAGGAAACCACGCTTTAAGTCCATCTCCTGAAAGGGCACTTAGAGGTGGGAGGTGAGAGACATCCGCTGTTCAATGGCACCCCACTGCTTGCCAGGTCAGTTCTGAAGTGGTGTCCTATTTAGGTTCCCTTTCCAGGGCCTCTCCTTCCATGACCTTCCCAGAGGAAGAATTATTGCTTACACAAGGGTAGGATGTTTGTTGAGCATCCCCAACATTACAGATGTTTCCATATTGCTCCTGACCTCTTTAAGATAAGGTTTATCAAAAAATAAATGGTAGGTATTTTATCACTGCCTATTGACAATGTGTTGGTTTAGGATCAACTTTGGGTATTTTGCATGTAAGTGTTTCTAGCTCTGATAACAAATCAGGTATTATTGTCCCTATTTAACAAATGTGACCTCCTCAGCCATAAAAGAGGATAAATTTGAGTAATTTGTGGGGAAATGCATGCACCTTAAGACCATAATGCTAAGTGAAATGAATCAAACACAGAAAGTTAAGTACCACATAGTTTCTCTAATATTAAAACCGAAGCATACATAATTTACAGAGAAAAATAAAAGATAGATGATAGGAAACAGGGAGGTAGACCTTTGTAAATGGGGAGGAAATCTAGGGATGGAGGGAGGAAAGGGAAATAAAATGGATTAAGAGGAAATAAATATATATACATATTTATAATCTTTCCCACAATGAATGTATTCAGTATTGCCACAAACATGTACTAATAAAAATATTTTTTAAAAGACAATTTAAAACATGAAGATTGAAAGACAAAGGTAACATGTATGTTGTTTCACAGACCTGACTGATCTTTGAAGGAGGCACTTTAAAGGATTCTATGTAAAGAGAAGGATCTTCCCAGGCTTTGGCCAAGATCAATTGTACTGTCTATGTAAAGAGGGGGGAAACCAGGCTTGGGGTTGACTTACCCACTCCATTCATTTCCACCTGAATCCCCATCTCTGCAGATGCTCAGCTTGCTGTGGAAATGCAATGCATGAGATTGATTTCAGGATCAGAGAGAGCCAGGTCCCAATCCCAGCCTCTTACTAGCCATGTGATCAACTGCTTGTTTTCTCTATGGAGAGCAATTTTTCATGTCATTCTACATGTCTTTCGTTTGTTTGAGACAGGGTCTCACTATGTAGTTTAGGCAGGCCTTGAACTCAACTGTGTAGCCCAGGCTGGGCTCGAACTGGCAGTGATCCCCCTGCCTCTCAACCTCCTGAGTGCTGGGATTACTGCAGTGTACCAACACTCCTAGCTCTACATGGCTTATAAAGATTTTTACTCTGGACTATGGCAAAGATGCTTGAACAGCAAACATCCTTGAATAACAGAGATAGTGTCTCCTTCCAGGTCAGAGGGAAGATTTGCTTGCTATCCAGGATATTTAAGATAATGTTTCCTTCTGGGACAAAGGTTGAACAGTTCTGCTAGTAGTACCATTCAAAAATTAGGGTTTATTAAGCATGGGGTGACTTAGTTGTGACACAAACCCACTGGATGTTTCATATCTACCTGGGCTCACCTCTCCACAGCCCATAAGATTTGTAGATCAAGGAGAGCCAACAAAAACATGAGCCTCGTGCTGCCACTGTGCCGAGAATAACAAAGTCCTTTGTTTCTGACCCAGGAGTCTCCTGTCTTCTACCATCATGTGTGAGACAGTGGCAGGCAAACTTGTTAGTGGCTAAGTGGGTAAAATTCCAAATCCTTCATAGTTCTTAAATCCTTATCTCCCAAATGTCAAAAGGCTCAGCAACTCTCAGTTCCCACTGCACCTCAACCACCTGCACTTTGACATCTGCTCCCAGTGTCACACAAAGCTAATTTTGCCAATGTTACCAAAGACTGATAACTGCTAATTTTGATGGGTATTTGACTCCAGGAGAAATCCATCAGGATCTCTCCAGCCTTTAGCAATGAGGACACATTCTCCTGCTGTGTTCTGCTGGTGGCTTACACAGGACCACACTTCCCTGCCTCTTTTCATTGGTCTTCTCCATGCACCCCTTTCCCCTTAACCACCCTATCAATGTCTGGCCAGCCTCTCCTGTTGTCCACCTTACCTCCCTGGGTGATCTCATATCAGTTTTAGGAACTTTGTATATACTTGTAACACCCTAAGTTATAGCCCCAATCCAGCCACCTGCTGAGCAATTCCATGCCACACTCAGGTGGTACAAAAAGGAATCTGTCCTTCCCTGACCCCCACACCAGCTAATTCTCCCTGCTGGACCCCTCTCCATTGTGGTACATGCAGCCACCTCATTGTTCCAGGCACTCATGCTCAGCTGTTTCCTGTTTCCCTGCCCACAGCCAAGCTATCTTTGAGGGTTGCTTCATGTCCCCCTCCCATTGTGCCCATTCCTCCTATCACTCCCTCTGGTCCCAACCCTCCCTGCCTCAGATAACTACAGCATCTAGACAACCCAGCTTGTTGCCTCCTCTCGGCCCCCACCCACCCTATTGTTGATAGAGTTATGTTCCTAAAATATAAACCAAATCATGTCATTTCCTTGCTTAAAACCCTTCATTCACTCTTCACATCCTAGCCAACAATGTCAAGGTTCTTGAACAGTATAGTTCACCATGTTCTCTAAATGTTACATCCCACCCCACTCCTATAGCCACTAACACTCAAAATGGAAGCGTTGGGGAGGCAGTATCTCAAAAGAACACTCACTAAATTGCACTAACTGGTTTTAATTTTATTATCGGGAACTAGTAAGTCATAAAATGTTGCACTAACTAGTCACATATGTCCTGTCTGCCTCAAACCCATTCTTAGTTTTTCTTAAAAAATAAAATCACAATTTGGACCAGGTGCTGTATTTCAATTGTCTGGCATTGAGTTTGTTTGTTTCGCGCAGGGTCCTCTTGAGAATAAGCTGAGCAATTCCTTCAAGAAGGTGCTCAAGGGCCCAGTTTCTTCGTGATATATCTATATCCACATCTCTGTTTATCTGTGTGTGGTATACTGTATATACATATTATAAACAAACAAGTGCTATATAGAGATGCTGTATTTTTTTTCCTTAAATTCTTTTATTGGTACACTTTAGGTATACAATACGTTTACATTTATCATTGGGTGCTTGTACCTGTACATGATGTATCTTGGTTCTTATTTTTTTCCCCATTACCTGTGCGCCCTTCACCCCCTCCACCCTTCCCTATTTACATAGACTTCATTTCCTTTTTTTTTCCTTTTCTCATAATTTTTCCTTTTCCGTCCTCTAAGCAAACAAACCAATACCCTCAAGAGTCCGCCAGGAGGCGCTGGGGGCGGCGAAAGACCGGCGGTACCCTCACCGTGGTAGAGGTGGAGAAGGATGCAGCAGCGATGGAACCGGGCTTCCTTTTTTATGAATCAATGTGAGCAAAGGGAGCAGGGTCGCGTTATTTTAGGGAGGCTTTGTCGCATTCTCCCTCCTGCGTGTAGGTAGCATCTGGAGTGCGCGAGCCCTGCTCGCAGGCCCCATGGAGAGAGGCTGGCGACGGCAGCAGGGGCTCCTTTCTTGGCAGCAGCCGGCAGTAACCCGACCCCGCCGGCGCAGGGACTGAAGAGGCGCCGGGGAGAGCGGCAAGCTGCGAACAAAAGCCCTAGGCGCGGGGCCGGAGCCAGAGAACGAAGGGTAAGTGAAGCCGCCCGGAGACCAGCGGCTGCGGGCGCTTCCGCTCCAAGAGCCCACCCTGCTGAAATGCGGTGGGGGAACTGGTGGGCATCTGGGGCGGGTGTCCGAGCCCAGACCGGGGAGGATGGTACCTTTAGCACATTCCGACTTGGAGGCGATCGAGTGCATCTGGGAGGATCCCGACGTCTTCTGCATCCCCTGCAAATACCCGGTGGGGGCTGGGGGTGGGAGTGGAGGAGGCGGGCAGAGCTCCTAGCAAGCCCTGCCCGAGAGGCAGGAGCAAGAATCCATCACTCCTCCTAAAAGGTCCTTTGGGGATTTCTCTCTGCCCTACCATCACCCGCACCCGGGTGTCCTTTGGCAGTGGGAAATCAACCATAAACTTCGTTCCTATGCATAAGGGATCCCCGCAGCAATCCACTTTGGGATGAACAGCCCCGCTCCGCCTTTTGTTCCTCCGAAGCTGCAGCCCGGCAGCCCGCCTCAGCTACAAACAAAATACGCTAATCCTCCCGGGAATCCGCTAGCGCGCCTCCCTCGCTGGCTGCTGACTGCTTGCACCTCGATTTTTAAACTTGCATCAGGCAGGGGGTGCCCCTAGCGGGCCAGACTCCAGGAGACCCTTGCCACAGGCCCCGCATTCTGGGACTGAGAGCGATCTAGGCTGTTCTTTTTGAGCACTAGGATCCTCCCTCCAACCCGCCGCCCTGTCTGGGTTTTCATGGCAAAGCTTTTATGATTTACGTTCCACCAGGCCTAATCTGAAAGTGGATTAAGGGGGGGGGGGCTATGGACAAGGAGGGGGGAACAGCTCGCTCTCAAATGCATTCTCCTATGTCCCTCCTTGTCATCCCCAGAGACTCCAACAAAGGCCAAGGCTCAGCCATGGTGGACCCAGTGCCCGAAGAGGAGAAAGGAGCCGAAGTCGGCGGCTCAAGAGGGGATGGGGCCACGGCGTCCGTGACCCCCAACGCCCAGGGCGCCCAGCAGCCGGCGGCCTCCTCGGCCTCCGCCTCCGCCTCGGGCTCGGCGGCGGCACCCCGCAAGGCAGAAGCTCCGTGCACAGCAGAAGGTGGGCCTCGCGAGCAGTCCCCACTGCTGCACCTCGACCTCTTCAACTTCGACTGTCCGGAGGCGGAGGGCAGCCGCTACGTGCTGACCAGCCCTCGCTCGCTGGAGGCCTGCGCCCGCTGCGCAGTCAAGCCCGTGGAGCTGCTGCCACGTGCGCTGACGGACCTGGTGCGCGAGGCCCCGGGCCGCTCCATGCGGGTGGCCACGGGCCTGTACGAGGCCTACGAGGCTGAGCGGCGGGCCAAGCTGCAGCAATGCCGTGCCGAGCGCGAGCGCATCGTGCGCGAAGAGAAGCGGCGCCTCTTCACGCCACTGGGCCCAGCGGCCGGCGCGACTTCGGCCTCGGCCTCGGCTTCAGCCCCGAGCGCCGGCAGCAGCAGTAGCGGTAGTAGCGCCAGTCTCCCCGCCTCGCCCGCGGCCCGCAAGGCCTCTCCCAGCCCCTCCTCGGCCCGGACACAACCTCCGCCCGTTGCCTCTCGGACAGGCAGGAAGAGCCACTCACTGGACTCGCTGTCGCGCCGGCGTGACGGTGCCCTCAGCTCTGAATCCGGTGCGTCGTCGTCCTCCTACAGCGGGGAGAGCCTTCGGGAGCTTCGCTGGCCGCCGAGGGCCTCGGCCAGGTACAGCTGCCCGGCAGGGTCGGCGTCCTCGGCCCCCAACCCTCTGGGCCGACCTTCCGCCCTGGCCCTGGTTCCACTCACAGGCCGCAGCTTCAGCCTCGGCGACCTGAGCCACTCGCCGCAGACCGCTCAGCACGTGGAGCGCATCGTGCGCCAAGTGCGCGCCGAGCGGGGCCTGCGCGGGGTGCCCGAGCGCGACCGGAAGATCGCGGCGCTGATGATCGCGCGGCACCAGGAGGAGCGCCTGTTGCTGGAGCAGCGCGCCGCCGCCCACGGCCAGTGGGAGCAGCAGCGCGTGCGCGCCGAGCAGCGGCGGGAGCGCGAGGAGCGCGAGAAACAGCGCGCGCTGGAGCAGGGCCGCCGGGCCTGGACTGCGCAGGTGGAGGAGCGGCGCGGCCGTCGGGGCCGCGAGGAGCGCGAGGCGGCGCGGCGGAGGCAGCAGCAGTGCGAGCGTAGCGAGGACCGGCGGCGGGAGCTGGCCGAGCGCCAGGGCTTGCTGCGGAGGGAGCGGGCGGAGCGCGTCGCCCAGGAGGACAGGCTGCGCAAGCTGCAGCAGGAGCAGAATCTTAAGCAGAGGGAAGAAGGCCTGCAGGAGGGGCGCGAGCGGGCCGAGCAGGTGCGCAAGGAGCGTGCCCAGCGCGCAGCACGCGCCAAACAGCGGCAGGAGGGCCAGCTACAGCGCGACAAGAGGGAGCTGAGCCGCGCCGAGCGGGCGCGCCACGAGGCGCTGCTGCGGGGCCGAGCCCGGCAGCAACAGCAGGAGCGAGAGGGCCTGCGGAGCACAATGGAGACCAGCTTGGGCCGCGCTCAGGAGAACTACGAGCAGTTGGTGGAGCAGCGCACCCGGGAGCTGCGGGAGCGGGCCCGGCGGGAGGAGCTGCAGGGTCGGCGGGCCAAAGAGGCGATGGAGCGCAAAGAGCGGGAGCATCAGGCGCACTTGGAGGCGCTGGCGCGGGCCGGGGAACGACGGCTGCAGCACGCGGCGCAGGTGGCCGAAGAGGCAGTGCAGCAGAAGGCCCGGCGCGTGGGCCAGACCCGGCTGGAGAAGGAGCGGGCCCAGCGCGCCAACAAGGAGAAAGTGGAGAAAGATGAAGACTTCCGTAGGCGGGAGCTGCTCCAGGCCATCGGGCGCAAGCTGGAGCGCAGCGAGCAGCTGTCTCGGGAACGGCGTAGCGCGCTGGAGAGCGCTCGCTCCACAGCCCGGGCCTCCTTCCACGTGCGCGAGAAGGTGCGAGAGGAGACCAACACTCGCTCCTTTGACAGAATGGTTCGCGAGGCCCAGCTACACGCCAGCCTCGACAGAAAATGACTTCGCCCTGCACTGGCCAGATGTGGCACACAGCCCAGTGAGGCCTCCCCCCAACCCCTGGCCACCTTGATCAAACCGGGGAATTCCCCAGTCCAGGTGCAGCACCATGGATTCTCTAGGCTTCTGACCAATGAAACAATAAGAGGACAGACTGTAGGACTTTTCAGTCTGCCCCCTTTGTTTTTAAAAACTTACTTCCTTTGAAGATGACATGGCTGGGCCGGGGATTTAGCTCAGTGGTTCCGCCTCCTGCCTCGGAAGCACAAGGTCCTGAGTTAAATCCCCGGTACCAAAAAAAAAAAAAGTCCAGGGGCTAAAGATGACATGGCACAATCTTTGCCCACATCCATCCTTGCCGAACCTCCCTATGTGTCTTTTGGGTTGGAAAGGAGAGTAGCTGGGGAAAATGGGTCCTCTTGGAGAGGGCAGAGTGGACTGCCTTCAACCCCGGCAGCATTCACCCCAGGCATTCTTCAGATATTGGTGTTCAAGAGGACTTTTGGTTGCAGCAGCTGAGGGATGTCCCTTGGCTCACCTCCATCTTTCAAAGTATGGCAGTTGCACAAAATTCGGAGGCCTTCCAGAAAAGCACAGCTCTTCCAAAGTGTCCCACCATGCACAAACATTTTTTAATGTTTGAGTATTAATCAGTCACCTGAGCAAATTTTCCTGTTAGTTCCCATAGTTTTTCAGCTGAGTCTTCCAGGTTTTCCAGTTAGACAATCACTGTATGGAAAATTATTAGTTTGTCTCTTTTTTTCCTCTCTTTTTATTCTCCCAAGTGGCACAGGTAATGGGTTTGTTTGGTGACGCTGTTAAGATTTATTGGAATCCCTCAGCCCTGGAGGTATTGGTTTTCTTAGGCAGCAGTGTCCTACCCCATGAGCTTCTTCACAGGGTGATTTCCAGGGAAGTGGTATCCAATGGACACCTCCTAGGACAGTGCCCGCTCCTGGCAGAGAGCAGCCATGCCTTAAGAAGCAGAGCTACCTTATGTGCCTGTGCAGGCCATTCTTGCCTAAGTCCCTGGCTCTGGATGCAGTCTCAAGTCTGGGCCCTGGAGTTTGGAGTGTAGGATTCCCTCTGTGAAGGAATCTGCTCAAACCTCTTGAGGATAATTAGTGTATCTTTGGCTGCTTTACTGTAGTGACTGAAGAGCTGGGATTGCCTCTGTGTTGAGAGTTGTGCTCAATATTGCTGGTAGAATATCTTCCCTCCCCAGGAAAAAGAGTCTCCTCGTTATATTCCTGGTACCCTTTTACTTATGACTGAGAGTATTTAATCGGTCTCTTGGTGCCTCACTTTTCCCATCTGCCAGATGGGGCCATCAGAACTCCTCCTCTGGTACCTCAGAGTCTCCTGGATCCAAAGCACCACTTCAGTATTATTTGTTGGTCTTCTTTGTGCCTTCCTTGACCTGGAGTTGGGAGGCAGGAGACTGTGTTAGCCTAGTTTGTGAGAATATGGATTCCGGACGTTGGGGCAGTGTATTGGCCTCTGCGGGGAAGTACTTGCAGTGCTAGGCCACTCCCTGGTTCAGACAGTTCAGTTGTCACCAGTCGATTTTATCCTTTAGATATAATGTAAGGAGTGTGCTTCCCTTTCACAACACTGAGATTGGCCCCAGCTATATCCACCCCTTGACTACCTTCATCATGGAAGGTGGGAAATAAAACATCACTTATTGCATTAAATCAAGGTCAGGAAATTTTTTAATTACCCAAAAATGAAAGAAAAGGGAATCAGGGTAGAATTACTATATTAGAATATTTCATCTGCGGGCCGGGGATTTAGCTCAGTGGTTCCAGCGCCTGCCTCTCAAGCGCAAGGTCCGGAGTTCAATCCCCGGTACCAAAATAAAGAATATTTCATGTGTATTCTGCTGGGCAAAACTGTCCCTAAAATAGCTAGTTATTACAGACATATTCACACACATACACTTAATCAACCCCCCACCTCCACCTAGTTACGTGGCAGCAGACGTAGGAGGAGTGTGTAGAAGAAGTAGTGTTTAGGTATTACAGTTAAGATGATGTGAAACTAGAAAAGGAGCTGTGTACCAAGGTTTATTTCTTGAATGGATGAATGAATGTTCCCCTTAACTTTTCTTGTTGGTAACCAGGTTGTCAGTGAGTTGTAATAATTGGTATTGTCTGTGAGTCAGGAGTGTTTAACTAAAAAGTTCATGTGATTCTGGTTCTTACATTGTGATTCCTGAGTTGCTAAGGGCTTTGAAACCTTCATAGAAAGCTCCATCCTCAAAAATCACTTACTTCAAAGTGTATGCATTTATTTGTTTGAGACAATCTGTCTTGTTTTGTTTTCATATATAGGAGGTTCTGGAAGGTACATAGATGATCTTACATGATGCTTTCCCAGTTTGTTTTCTGATTTACGGAGTGACTCTGGGTAGATCACTTCTCTGTGCCTTGGTTCCCCTGCCTGTGGGACGGGAGCTATGATTCCTGCTCCCCCTTTCACACAAACACTGTGAGGATGAATCAGAATCCAAGTGATATTTCCAGTTGTATCACTCCGGAACTAGAGGTGCAGTCCCTCTGAACAGGAAGGGTCATGTGACCATACTATGGCCAGAGAGTGTGATGTGTTGTCATGACCTGGTGCAGGAGTAGTCTTGAAAAGCACATTGTAAACCATAGTGTGCAAGGGCCTAGGCCTAAAGGTTACCAAATTAGAGGTATGCACTAAGAATCACTGTGTTAAGGCAAAAACTTTTATAGTAAAAAATTCATACAGCTGAACATAAGTAAAGCAAAAACAAAAGCCAAACCTGTTTATGATAAGAATGGTCCCTTCAGGTTCCAGATCATCCAGTGGAATTTAGACCCACTTCTACAACTCTAGGGAATTATCCAAGTTGCTCTCCGAAGAGGGACTATTTCCAGAATGTTTATTGGACCCTTGATTTATATTCTTTCTTTGAAATGATGCCTGAGAGGAGAAGTTGCTTCTAATTTTGAAAAGCAGCAGGAGAACATTGGAGTGGGGGAGGTGGTAGGTGGAAAATGGCTCCTGATATGTATTCTGCTGGCTAGAGCTGTTCCTACACAGCATTCTGAGGGTCCAGAGTTGACCATAGAGCACCCTGTAGAAGTGTTCTTACCATCCAGGGGATTGCAGATTTACCCTTTGGAACACCTCCTTGTTCAAAAGAGAGAATGTGAAGTAGCATGAAGAGGAATGGGAAGGATTAGAAGAAGCTTCAGTTTGTTGGTTACCAAGGAAACAAGCAGGACAAAACCATTTCTGATGAAATCATTGGGTAAAGCTAGTCCAATGTCCTGCTCAATGACCAATGCCTAAACCACATCTGGACAGAACAATGGAAATTTCCTTTTGGATGTACACAGATTGGGCACTCAATGAGGGCCGTAAACAAGATTTACCAAAAGCAGAGTCTGTGGGGTAGTAAACATAGATAAATATCTCAATCTAGTTTATATTACTATAACAAAATACCCAAGGTTGGGTAATTTGTAAATGAAAGATTTCTTTAGCTCACAGTTTTAGAGGTCAAAAAGCATAATACGAGAGCTTCCAGTGAGAACCTCATGGTGGATGACATCACACGGGAAGGGTGTGCATGCAAGAGAGAACACATGGCAAGATAGCAAAGGAGACAGGAGGGGCCAGATGGGCTTTGTTTAAAAATGTAGCTGTCACTCTCTAAGGAACTAATCTACCCCTATCAGACACTGTCCCATTCTATGAGACCAGCCTTAGTCCATTCATGAAGGTGGAGCCCTTATGACTTAATTATCTTTCCCTTGGCCCCACCTCTGGGGTTTTTTTCCTTTGTAGTACTGGGGATTGAACCCAGGGCTTTCACAATGAGCTACATTCCCAGCCCTTTATTTTTATTTTTAAGGCAGGGTCTTGCTAAATGACTAAACTGCCCAGGCTGGCCTCAAACTTGGATCCTCCTGCCTCATCCTCCCAGAGGCTGGGAGGTGGGTGCCACCACACCCAGCTAGGCCCCACCTCTTAAAGGCTCCACCCTCTCGACACCATCACACTGCAGACCAAGCTTCCAGCATAGGAACATTTGGGAACAAACTATATCTAAGGCATAGCATTGAGGATATAATTTGTGTTCAAGCCGTTCTGCCACTCATTCCTTTTCCTTTAAACAGTCCGTTGAAACACAGAGGTGACTCTGCATAAGGGGTGATATTTTATTTACCATAGAATCCTCTGTAGTCCATGGTTTATCACCTCATATATTGTAAACACATAAATACTGCATGGAGAGAAGGCTAGAGGGATGGATGGATGATGGACAAATGAACAGTGGACATCTGCATAGAATAATCAGTTAGGCAGCCTCCATTCATTCAACAATTTCCATTGGGCACCTGCTATGTGCCAAGCACTGCTGTTGATGCTTGTGAAAGACTCTCTGATCATTGACCCAGGAATCGCTTTTCCTGCAATGTCATGAGCAGCTGTTTCCGTTTTCTGATTGGGCTTACCTACTTCCCACCTGGGTATCCATCCTCAGGACCTGATGGCCCCTCAAGGCACTAACTTCAACTTACCTTTTTAGTCTCCTGGGGACAAGCCATCTGCCAATCAACAATCATTTATTCCCTGTTGTTTTCCTTCAGAGAAACCTTGGTTAATTAGGTCAAGTTTATAATGTCACATAGTTGATCAGCTTACATTACAATGAAAGGGAGAGGGATGGAATATTAATCACTTTCAAGGGTATTTGTCATACCTTTCAGAAAGTCAAATAAATAATGATCATGGACATAGAGAACAGAGCCTCAAGCTATTCAGGGTACCAGTTCACCAGTTTACTGGCTCCATCATTCAGCTATTCTTGTTGAGACAAGAAAGTCAGTAATTCAAGCCGGGGGTAGTGGCACACATACATACCTATAATCCTAACTACTTGGGAGGCTGAGCAGGAGGTCAGCCTGAGTAATTTAGCAAGATCCCATCTCAAAATTTAAAAAAACAAACAAACCAGAAAGGACTGGAGATGTAGCTCAGTGGTAGAGCACTTACCTAGCACTTAAGGAGGAAAAAAAGTCAACATTTCAAAAGCAACCAATTGAAAAATCCCAAGGAAAAAGAGATTCTGGACAATGTTGAATTGATAAGGTTTAGTGAATCAGAATATCTCACTTCTTGAGTCTTCTGTGTCACTGAAGTTACCCACAGGTTGCTATGTAGATCTGACTTTTCTCCTGTGTGTGACTCCATCATCCGGGTATCCTCAGGAAACATTTGGCAGAGGGGCAAAGGAAATGCCATTTATTGGAAAGGATTTTCAGAGACCCACCAACAGATGACTCTCGGATCTAAAAAGGTTCGGGCTTTCTGGGTGACCCATTTGGCTTTGGGTGTCTGGCACAGCACCTGAGCATTACACCTGGTCACCTGCTTTGGCTGTGTGTGTCCACAGAAGAGCACCTCGTTAACTCACTTGTGCTGTGTTACATTCAGGAGCTTTCATTCTCTCTACGTGTGCTTCCTCCTTGCCCCACACACCCCTCCAAGCCGTAAGCCCTTCAGTACTATCCCTGATGCTTCTTTGGTTTCCAACAGGGTCAGGGTTGAGACAGAGGCTGGAGTTAGCAGCAGTGTTAGGATGTCGGGTGAAGGATGGTTTGTTTCTCAGGAGCACTGATAAAATCATCTTCTGTGGAGTTATCACTTCCCCACTTGTCACATACAGTCATTCTGCATGAGCACAAAAACCTAGTCTGAAGTGATTTTTTTTTTTAATTAGCTGAAGTGCTCACATGTGTCTTCTCCACTAGCACAATATTGGCAGCATCTTTTTGTGGCAGACACTTGCCTGGTTCGTAGGACTGTTAGAAAGAGAATCCATATCTAGTGTGTCTGAGCATGCATGTCCACGCATGTACCCCTCCCAGCATCAGTGTTGTTGCAGAGGGAGGGAACCTGTAGTCATCTCATTCTCACAGGAAACAGCAAGCTCTGGGAAAACTGAGCTGCCCTCTGATGGGATCAATTGGTTCCATCTACCTAAAGCAGTCTGTATGCTTCCATCTGAAGGCTGCACTGGGCTCTGGCCTAATAAGCATGGCATATGCATTTCCCAAGTCCATTACTGAGCCTCATGGGTGACAGGATTTCCATGTTGCCACTCCACTGTCTTAGTGCAAGAAATTGATTGGGAAATGAAATTTAGATGCCCAAATGTCTGAAATTTAAATGAAATGAATAAAATGAAATTTAGATGCCCAAACTCAGGAACTTCTCAGTGTAACAGAACAACTGACACCCCCAAAGTTCTGAAAATCCAGTCCATGTGGCTGCCACATGTTCAAGGCCAAGAGTTTGCCAAAAGGGCGAGTGTCTTGACTTCATTCAAATTATTTTACACTCTTCCATGTGCCCCCCTGCCCAGCATCTTCACGATGGAGACAGCAGCTCCTGTTTGTGGAGAGTTTTGTTGAATCAGTTGATGTTTAGAAAGCAGTTAGCACAGTCCCAGGCAGGTAGCACTTAGTTGGTGGTCACCATTATCTGAACTTAAGGGGGTGGTAAAGGAGTGGGGCAGACAGAGCCTGAACCAGTTGTTACTGGTGGTTAGCAGGGGTAACAGCCCTTCTTGGGTTGTCTGTATCCTTCACTGTGTGACAGTACCCTGAACATTTCAAAAGAAGGGGCTCTGGAAGAACATTCTCCTCCATGAAGTAGTTTGGGGTTGGGGAGCGGAAGGGATTACCTTGTTTACCAAATTACCTTGTTTGGCAATAAAATTAACATTTGATGATAATTTTAGTAATTCTGTATTACGATTTCCTAAATGATGAAAATGACATGCTTTAAAATGTCTATGTCTTTCTGAGGCAAAGAAGGGTGTGCTACTGTCCTGGTCATGCCCAAATCCTATGATAGCATCTTTAGCAGAACCAAGTACGATGGACTATGGGAGAACCACTGTTCTGGGGGCTGCAGTGCTGCTGGATGTAGTGGCACTAGATATGGTAGCAGGAATTTGGGGAGAGCCATCTCTGCAATGGTCACATGGAGTGAAGAAGTGGGTCCGGGACCAGCCCGATATGGGAGGTACTGATGAGCAGGCTGTAGGAGTAGATGTTGGACCAGGAAGAAAGGTAGATGTGCCTTAGCATCTTGCTTCACCCTCAACAAATGACTGCCATTGAGAAACCTCGGCGAATGTCCCCAATCTGCATTCCTGGCCTCATGGCCCTGCAGACATGTGCATGGAGGTTAGCTTCAGGGTGGGTCCTGAGAAGCCCAGTCCCCATTCTGGATGTACATCAACACAGAGAGGCTGAACAGTAGGCTGGCCCGTGTTGGCTTTACTGTGCACGGGGAAGTGGGGACAAAGAATATGTCAAGCTGTGGGTTTGCTCCCACTTTGTTCCCTTGTGCCTGCACTTGGATACCTTGAAAGGAAGCCTCAGCAGAACTCAGAGGCCTCTTAAGCCCTTAGCAAAATAGTAGAGTAGATAGAATGTGTCCCATAAGAACATCTGCTTGTTTGAAAAGTTTTAGGATGAGCAAAACGCATACTAGAAGGGAACAATTTGCTAAGCTAGCATTGGAAGGATGACAGTAGCCGATATATACCAAAACCTTACACTGTGCAGGTGACTGTTTTAAGCACTTAATTCTTACACTAGCACCATGAGGTAGGTACTGTTGTTTCCATTTTACAGGTGATAAAATTGAGGCACTGAGTTTAAGCAGCTTACCCAAGGTCACACAGCAAGTGTTGGACAGAGTTGACTTGGACCCAGTTAGTCTGGCTGGACAGCCCATGCTCTTAACTCATATGTTCTGTGGTTTCTTGGAAATCAGTGGGAACGGTTCTTTTATAAAAGGACCCTCCTGGAGTCTCCAGGGCTGACCATTTGAATCACTGCCTGCTATGCCTATGAGTACAGATTGCAGGGGAAAAGCTCCCCTCATTTGGACTCCATGGTCATGGAGCACTGAGGATAGACTGAAGTTCACTGTCCAGAGGCAAAATAAGATAACCCTAATGTGGATCACAGCGCATTAATTAATGCAGAGGCAGCACATGTTCTACACCACGGGTGCTCGAACATGGTCCCTGGGCTAGCAGGCCCCATATCAGATTTCCTGGGGGGTGGGATTCTGTCTGGGTTTTGGCCAGCTCTCCAGCTGATTCCAACATGCACTTAGGTTTGAGAACCACTATTCTAGATCTGTGCTTTCCGATTCAGTAGTTGTGAGGCTCATGTACCTGTTAAAATTAAGTTAGTTAAATTTAAATAAAGCTAACAATTCAGCTCCACACACAGCAAGTACTCAGGTACATGTGGCTGGTGACCACCACATCAGCACAAATCTAGAACATTCTCAACATCACAGCAAGTCTTATTGGCTAGCACTGCTCTAGAATCTTCTACCTCAGAGTGTGGGCCACAGACCAGCAGCACTGGTACCACCGGCAAGTTCGTTAGAAGTGAAGAGCTCAGACCCCACCCTAGACCTTCCGAATCCATCTGGGGTTTTTTTGCAAGATTCCGGGTGATTCATGTTGCACATTCAAGTTTGAGAAGCACAGCTGTGAAAGGCAAGCTATAAAGGTCCTGTCTCACAAAGTGTTCATAGTCTGTAGGTACCAGATCTATGTAGATAAGGATAGACAAGCTTTTTCAAAGGTGGCCAAAACTTCTAGCAAAAAAGAATGGATGAGTAATAGAAAATCTATAGTTTCTATAGATCAAATGAGTTAACCTTTGGAATTTATGAGAAGACACTTTTGAGGTGGCCCTTCTCTGTGTTGGCATAAGAATGGATCCAGCCTCTATCTCAAGTAGCAGAAAAAAGTATGCAAATCTCAAGGGAAAGGCAGTATGTGATGTAACTTGGAGGACATAGTTGGTGGCAGTACATAATTTGGAAGGTGATGCCTCAGCATGTACACAGGGTACTAGATTTTAGAATACTTTAGAAGGCAATCGAGTACATTTAGGGGGCAAGAGAAAACCTATTGCTTTATTTTCTTTAGCATTCTATCATCTAATTGGGATGAAAGATTACCAGGTTGTACGGAAGCTTTCAGTTACTTTGAGATATATGAAGTTGTCATATTCAACAGTTTTTGACCTACAAAGCAGCAGTCAGTGGGGTGGCAGTTGCCTTCAATGGGGTGTCTGAAGACTTTGCAAGAACTGGGGAGGGGGGCATTGCGCAGGTGGCTGAGACATTCAGGTCCTAAAAGGAGCTGCCAGATAGGTCAAGGACAGCCTGCTGTGTGCTTGGGCCAAGGACAGGTTTTCTGCCTGCAGGAAGCATACATTTATATCAGTGCATCTACATGGCTGAGAGCCCACTTGGTCTCCTCCCACAGGCTGGGCTGCATGGCAGTTCATTTCCCTAGAATCTGCAAACTTTTCTGCAGAGGCTGTGCCTTCTGCCTGACACGAGCTCCCAGGAGTGCTCCAGAACAAAGGCAATTGGCATGCAGCTGCCTGCCCAGAATACCAAGTAGTATCCAGCAGTGGAGGCTCCTGGGGCTTGTACCACAGCCGACTCCCCTGGTACCAGCTCTGCCCTCCAAGAGCCCTTTCTCTCCCTCCGCTGTGGCTTTTCTACAAACTCACTTGTTTCCAGGTGGAAGAAATATGCCCCGCAATCCAACAATACATTTCTAAAACCTTCTCCATGACAACGCTGAGTGCCGAGCAGGCTGCCAGCTCAGAGTCAGCCAGAGAGGGGCCCTGGGGGCAGACAGTGCAGAGAAGCACAGGACAGCTGGGGATGCCTAATTCTGCCTCAGCAGGAAGGCGGTCTGAGGCCAGCACATCCCAACTCCAGAGAACCTGTTTGGAGACTGAGCAGACTAGGGAAGCAGTGAGCCCATGTCCACAGATGTCCAACAATGATAATCCATTATCTTAGCACGGAAGCAAATGGTGCAGGGCAGGTAGGACTTCCTTTCTTCTTGAAAGATCGTTTGCAATTGAAAAGAGGAGATAAATAATAGGAAATGAGCAAAGAGACGGGTTCTTAAATGGGCTGCCAGTGCCTTGTGATTGGGCAGATTCTTTATAAATCTAAATAAAGCACCATCCAGATGATAAGTCTCAGATGCTGCCCCTCCCCAAAACACCCCCTCAAGCTGATCTCACAGTGGCCAGAGCCCTTATAAGAACCAGAAACAGAATCCCCATTTTTCCTCCCTCTCTAATAGTTAATGGCAACATTAATCCATGGAGCAGCGGCAAGCACGGCAGAGAAGGCTAAGACCCAGCATCTACAGAGAAGTGTCTGGAGACAGGTTGTTGTTGATATGGGGTTGGCAAGGAAGAGGCATGTCTGTACGCTGGAGAAAGAAGTGAAGACAGGATCTAAATTAAAGTGGGGGGCACCAACTCTCCTTCCTAACTCTAGTGTTTTTGTTTTTGTTTTTATTTTGTTTTATTTTTCCTTCCTCTACTTCTGGTACTGGGGATTGAGCCCAGGGCCTTCAACTGCATTTGATGTACTGAGCAACATCTCAGCTTTTTTTTTCTTTTCTGAGACAGGGTTTTGCTATACAGTTCTGGCTGGCCTTGAGCTCACTATGTAGCCCAGGCAGGCCTCAAATTTGTGGCAATCATCCTGCCTCAGCCTCCCAAGTGCTGGGATTATAGGTGTGCGCCCCACGCCCAGTTGTTTGTTTGTTTGTTTGTTTTGAGACAGGATCTCTCTGTGAGTTGCTAAGCTGCCCAGACTGATTCAAACTTGTGATCTTCCTACCTCACTGCCCAGAGTGCAGGAATTGCAGGCGTGGGCCACTGTGCCCAGCTCCATCTAGCTTTTTTATGTCTGAGCCAGAAAGAAAATATGAGTCTTCCAGATTTCTGGATGTACCTTAAGTGGGGAGCCAGGTGCTCTGCCTGGCTTATTCCCCTGCCTTGCTGTTGCTGTCCCTTCTCAGCCTTCACCCTACCTGTTTAAAGAGAGCTCTCTTCAGTGGTCAAGTGGTTCTATGGTTTGGTTCCAAAACAGGGACTGTCAAAGCCTCTGAGTGCTGACCTGGGATCAGAAGGGCACATCTGTGTCAGAGACATTAAAATCAGATCGTTTACCAACAGTCAAGGCATCAAGCAAACCCAAACGCAGGGAGCCTAGAACTGCCTCTCCCCATCCTCCTGATTTTTTTTTTTCAACAAGGTCCCACTATGTAGATCAGACTGGCCTTGAATTCAACTGCAATCCTCCTGCCTCAGCCTTCCAAGCACTGGGATTACAGATGTGTGCCACCATGCCAGGCTTCCCCTGGGGTTTTCAAATAAGACTAGGGCTCCCTCCTGCTCTGTTCCCCGCAATTTCCCTGTGGGTTCACCACTGAGCCCCTGCTCTGATGCCAACACTAGCTTTCCATGGAAACAGGTGAGTGGACAACATCCACGCATGGTTGCTCACTCTCCACACAAAGAGTGGGGGCATCGGCATGGCAGCTTTGCCTCTGCAGTAGTTCCTGGCTGCAGCTAGTGTCTGTCATGGCTCATTATTTTTATCTCCCAAGTTACAGGATTGACTACATAACTTGCAGTGCCAAGGCCAAAATAAAAATGCATGGGTGGCCTCTTGTTCAAAAATGATGAAGAATTTCAAGATGACAACAGCAGAGCATGAAACCAAGGGTGACCTCTCAGTACAGGTGACCTCTGTGTAGCTGGACCTGGCAAACCCCTACCCAGGGTAGAGCAGGCTATTGTCAATCACCAGGAGGTATAATTTCTGGAGTTTTTAACTCTGAGAGTGATTAGTACTTTTACAGTTGCAAAAGCAGACTCACACTGGACCAAAGGAAGAAATTCAGACATTCTATTTTATGTCTAATAAAATCATTGTATATCTAATGACATTATTTTATGTCTAGTAGAATTCATTTCTTTGTCTAATTCCTGTTCAGATCATTCCCCACACCTGAGTACAGGATTAAGGAGTTTTCTGGGACTGTCAGACATCAGTGGTGGGACACAGCCTTTCCCAGAGTGGCAGAGCCTGGTTTCTGTCAGTTCCCTGCGAATCACCCCCTCACAAAATTGTGGAGTGGTTAAAACTGTGCAGTCAGACACCCCTGGCCTTTAGATCACTGTGGCAAAACTGCATACTTTCTCTGAGCCTGGGTTTCCTCATCTGTAAAGTGGGGACAATACTGGCACCTACCATACAGATTGTTGTGAAGACTGAATGAGAAAAAGCATGCAGAGAGAACAGCAGAGTGTTTGGCATTGCACATAATGTGCTCAATAAATAGCTTTTGTTATCGATCCTTGTCTTTAAAAGCAGGTAGGGTTTTTTGTTGTTTCTGTGGTATTTGTTTGGGGTTTTTTTGAGATGGGGCATCTCTTTATGTTGCCCAGGCTAGCCTCAAATTCCTGAGCTCAAGTAATCCTCCTGCCTCAGCCTCCCAAGGAGTTGGGTACAGGAGGTTGCCACCACGCCCAGCTTAAAGAAGACAGTTCTAAAAGTGGAGCTGTTAAAACAGAAGTAACCAGTAGCTGAACTATTTCTCTTAGCTCTACCTCATTTTTTAAAAAAATGCTAGAAGGAATGTAGAGAGGCTGCCAGGGGTGTCCATGTTCAACCCAGATTACAGATGCTAACAGTTCATTAAAGTGAATCATTGACCTTCAGTTAAGGTCTTGAATTGCCCCCAATACCCCCCAACCTAAATAAAGACAGCTTTATTCCCAATTCACAGGCAAAATTAAGTCAAAGCATAAACTGTCTTTTAGATTTTTTCCCAATTTTTTTTCTTAAGACCTGGTGCATTATTTTGGATATCTAACAAAAATACTGAATATTTTAAAGTCTAATATGACAAACATTCATGACTTTAAGTGCTTCATCACCTGAAGAGGCATAAGGAAGATGAACATAAGCTATGAGCAGTGACTCTGAATGAACATTAGCTGACATTAGCTCGTGAGAAGAGAGTAGAGAGCATTAGTGGCCCTGGAAGATGAACTCATTTGATGGGCTTTCCTGTAGGCCAACTGTATTAGTCAACTTTCCATTCCTATGGCAAAATACCTGAGAAAATCAGCTTATAAGGAGAAAGAGTTTACTTGGTTTATGGTTTCAGAGGTTTCAGTCCGTGGGTGTTGGCCCTATTATTTTGGGTCTGTGGTGAGGCAGAAGGTGAGGGGTAGTGGTGGAACAAAGCTCTACAGGCTGGCAACCAAGCTTATGGGCCCTGAGGAGACATTTCAGATTTACTACAACAATTTGTTCCCCAGCATTCATGTGGTGAAAAATTAGTCCCCAGTGTGTCAGTACTGAGAAAGGGTGGGCCTTGTAAGAGGTGTTTAGGTCATTAAGAGGGATTAATGCCTCGATCTCAGGAGCGAGTTCTCAGTCTGCTGGGACTGTATTAGATACTTAGAGAACAGGTTGTTACAAAGCAAGTCTGCTCATTTTGTACATGTCTGCTTGGCCTTCTGCATTCCAACACAAGCTGAAGCAGCCTGAGATCCTCGCTGGCTGCCACCGTGTTTTTGGACTTCCCAGCCTCCAAAGCCGTGAGCTAGGTAAACTTCTGTCTTTATTAATTACTTACTCTCAGGCATTCTGTTACAGCAACAGAAAATAGACTAAAATAGGCCACTGTGAGGGTGTTACTCTGTGAATATCTCACCTTACACTTTGTTCCACCAGGGACGAAATCTGAGAAGATCCATCAAGGACAGAACTGCAGAGAATAAGGTTACTATAAACAAATGGTTGGTGTGTCCACAAAGGGCAGTTAAAGGACTGTTACAGCAGAGGACGGGCCTGAGACAAAAGTGGGGTCTGACTCCTGTCCCCCTTTGTGGCACTTTCCTTTTCCAAAGCCTTAGTCTCACTCTTCTTAGACAAAGGGATATAGACCCCCTTTCTCAGGACACCCTCACTCTGGAAGGCCTGGCTGCACCCTCAGCTGAAGGGGCTTCACTCCCCCAAGCCCCAGGAGGCTGCCATGGTTTTAACTGTGCTGCCTGTGAGGTGACAGCTGTGTCTGGAGGTCACTGTGGAGTGTGGGTGATGCAGTTTTTTTTTAATTTATCTAATTTTATTGTATTTTAAAAATTGGAAAGAGTGAAACAGTATTTCCAAACACCTGAGAAACAGTACAGCATCTTCACATAAACAATTTGAAAGAAGACCAAGTTTAAGTTAGAATCTCATTTTATATAATGGATAACATAAATTAAGTCATCCTTTAAA